GGGGGGGCAAGTTATAAGTAACTGTTGTTATTGCCTCGAATTTGACTCAACCATTTACTACAAGAAATTGGGTCAATAGTGACAAAAAAATAGAGACAAAAAGAAAATGATCACAAAAGATGATTAATCATTCAATTTCTACAAAATGTATATTGAAGTTGTCTTGAATTTGGTTCAATCCTATTTGTTCATATCACGATCATCGTATGATTCACAGATATATCGGGGGTCAAGGGGAAGTGCCTTTGCGGGCGACAAAAAGAAAATGGTCACAAAAGAAGATTAATCATTCAATTTCTACAAAATGTATATTGAAGTTGTCTTGAATTTGGCTCGATCCTATTTGTTCATATCATTGATCATCATATGATTCACAGATATTTCGGGGGTCAAGGGACAAATTTTGGTTGTATGGATATTTTTTAAATTCAAATTAATAAATAAAATGATGAATTCTCTTTACTATTTCTCTTTGTATTTGGTTCATTGTTCCTTAACAATAACACCTCTATACAATGTGTTAAATTATGTTGGGGCAATTGCCTAAAGACCATAGTATTTTAAAACTTTTAGAGGAGCAATTGCCTAAAAACCCTAAAAAATGATACAATACAGAATTTTTTAATTTTTTTTAAGGGGGGCAATTGCCCCCCCTCCTAAACATAAGGGAGATCCGCCCCTGGATCTAGTTTTAGCTCGAATTTCAATTTGATCAAGATTAGCGAGCCATGCCATCGAGCCAAATTATAAAGAAAAAAAAATTGAGTCGATCTTGAGCCAAGAACAAATCGATCAGCTAGAAATTATATTATTAGCTAGACACACTGAGATCTTATATTGTGATAAAAATATATTAAGAAAATATTTTCAGAACAGTATCGATCCAAGGCAAGACAAATATAACCAGAAGTACAGATATTTGATCTTTACATACAGGAAATCACTTCATCATACTTTATGACTGAATCTTTTCTGAAAATCTGCCACAATTCTCAGATGAGAAGGAAAAAAATATTATGACCACTATATCTCTATTAGAACAGTACTATATGCGTTTACTGTTAAGCACTTGAAATTATTGTATCTTTTAGAAGCAAGGAGGAGGAAATACGTGTCCTATGGCTTTTGCAATTCCAACGTTCGTGCATGCGGTCAAGGGGACGGTAGGGGCGAGGCCTGGGCTGGGTGGAAGAGGCTTCAGGTTAATGTTCTCGAGTGTTATGTGGTCGCAAGGCACAAAGGAGCTGCAGACGAGGTTGATGGCGACATCAGTAGCTGAAGTTCCCCTTATGTTTTGGAACCTCACGTTGTCGATCTTTACTCTGGAAGCTGGCTGCATGAAATAAAAGTTCAGATGATAGTTTAATTCATGAAGCTGCTGAAAATATAAACTTCTCGGGAAAGAAATTTATTTTATTTGAAAATAGTTAAATTTAGACGATAGATTAAATAGATGATTTGAGAAGGGGATTTATTTATTTATTTAATTTTTTCTCTCTTTTTGCAATCTTGCTTGAGTGATTTATATATTGTAAAGCTTTTCCTTGAGTCCTAGTAAAAAGGGGCTAGTGTTCATATATTTACTATTATATAAGTTTGAGTATAGTCCTAAGTCCTATGATGCACCGACACTCCGCTTAAAAAGGGAATGCAGTGTCGGACACGTGTTGGACACGAACACGCGTCTGACACTGCATGGACACGTGTCCGACACGGCATTGATTAAAATTAAAACCGGACACGCGTGTTGGACACGCGTGTCCGGTTATTAAAAAATAAAATCTTCCGATTCGTTCTATTTAGCCTTTTCCGTGAATGAGAAGCCCTATTTTTTCGATTCACGAAAAAATCTTCTAGGTCGGATCGGACGAGCTCGTAGCCGACGCCAAACGGAGCTCGCTGCCTTCGCCTCCCGTTCCTTCGTCATTTCTGCTCAAGCCAAGGCCAAGCCAAGCTCGTCTTTCCCATTCCTTAGTTTCTGCATGATTTCTGCGGTCAGCCGAGGCAAAGTTCGCAATCAAATCCAAACAGAGCACCTTCTGCGCGCAAGAGAGCCAAGACCTGTAAGTGGATTTCGCCATTTCTTCTCTTTATTGTTGAAAATGTCTAGATTAATTGAAATATTAATTTTTGTTTTTTGAAACTTACTAAAAAAAGCTAATGTACATGCTCGGTATCGAGCAGGTACATGCTTGGTACCGCTAGGTACATGCTCGGTACAGCTAGATACATGCTCAGTACCGTTATGTGCATGCTCGGTACCGCTAGGTACATGCTCGGTATTGCTAGGTACATACTCGGTACCACTCAATACATGCTTGGTACCGCTTGGTATCTTTCCATACAAACAACTTACGAACTTTAAAAACAAGCAGGTCGAACCCTGTAAGGGGGTAGCACCCCCTTGGACCTCCGGCAGACCAGTATATTGTTGTACTCACCTTAATTTTTAAATATTATATTAAAAAATTATTATGCCATGTTGACGCCGCACTCGTGTCCTATATTTTTAAAAAATTCCATGTCCCATGTCAGTGTCGTGTTGTGTCCGTGTCGTCGTGTTCGTGTCGGTGCATCATAGGTCCTAACCCTTCCCAATTCGAAATGTCTTAGGTTATAATCATAGGCTAAAAATGAATAAGGTTTAAACCCTATATTTAATATTAGATAAATATTCAAATGATATAAATCTATTTTTAACATAGGGTTCAAAGATTAGATGAAAATTATATGATTTGCTGGGAAGTAAATTGCATAGTGAACATAAACAAGAAATAAAAAATATAACAAAAAAAGAAAGAACAACAAGATTTAATGTGGAAAAACTTGAAATCAGGAAAAACTACAGAGCCATACAACACTAAGAAATCTACAAAAAAAATTGGGAGAAATTGTACAAATTTCTTCTCTCTCTCACTCTTCATTCCCTTACTCTATTCTTTACACAAGATGGACAAAGAGGTACTTAAAACCACCCAAGGGAGGCAACCCCTCAAGTTAAAGATGAAAAAAGAAAAGGAAAACTATCCATCCTGACTCGTAGAATCGCGACACTAAGTTTGGACTTCCACGATGCTCTATTCTTTGTCTCTAATCTGACTAACAACATTGCAATTCCGGGGTTTAGAGTGCCACTCCACTCCACTCTCTATCTTTCTCCAACCAGACTATACAGTGCCTCAACACTCAAGCACACAATACCACAATGTTGTTTGTTCATTTGGGAAAAAAATTGGATGCAAAGCACTCGAATCCATGCCCAACGAGCTTCTATGATGAAATGATATTGAAGATGGATGTGCTTCATCTTGGCATGAAATGCAATATTCTTAGCTAGATGAATAACACTTACGTTGTCATTATGCAACTTCAAATTCATTTGCTTTTTACTAAGTTCTGCCTTTAAACTTTGCAACCATATCATCTTCTTACTAACCTCGGTCAACTCAGCTTCTATGATTGAGAATGCAACAAACTTTTGTAACTTGAAAACCTAACTCTCTATAATCCTTCTTAAAAGTGAATATATATCAAGTTATTCTCCATCTACAATATAAATAAGAATCTGTACAAGATCCTCTAGATCAATCCCTAAATTTTTAAAAAGATAATTTAGCCTAAGATAATTTTAGTATACCTTCACTTCTATCTCTGTTGTTTCTCATACTCTAGAATTTTATTATTGGACCCATGTCTTTCATTTCAAACTCCTTTGAATATATATCAACTTGTCATCCACATATAAAAGTAGAATGATATAATAATTAACAAAATATTTAAAGAAATAACACTACGGGAAAACCTGTCATTACCAACAGACAAAATTCACTAATAATCATGCCCTTTTGCAAAAAAAATTACAATTTTGACGTATTTTCGACGAAAATTAGGTCGACGATAAAAAGCGCTTCAAAAAACTTATTCCAACATAAAGATTCGCCAGAAACATTTCCGGCCAAATTACCGACATAATTCCAGCAAAAATGTTCATCATTATTCATCATTTAAGATTCATTATTACCAGTGCTTTATTCGCCAGAAATTTCGGTTAAATATTTATGCCTAAAGTTTTGGCGAATAAACCGTCGGATTCAACGGATAAAGATTAGTGGAAACTTCTGATGGATTATCCGCCAAATTTTTTGACATAAATTTATACCGAAAATAAAATACATTTTGTCGTATCTTCATTTCCGGCAAAATTTCTGCTAGAAATTCACTAGAAACCTATAGCAAAAAAAATGATAGTTCTATATCTTATGTTTGTGTTTTCTACAAGACAACAAAGCTGTATAAAAATATACATATATCACATTCATTTAGACATTAAACATAAACAAACACTTTAATATTTACCAAACAATTTAATGAATAATTTATCATTTAGAGTTCATTGAACATTCACCAAATAGTTTAAAATTAAACATAGAAAGGAAATGTCAAACATATGAAAATAAATATCCAATAATTAAAAAAACACCTAATCAGAATCAGTCTCCTTCTCTGCTAATGCTGCCTATTTTCAATGAAACTTTTGGGAGCCTCTTAGTGTCTCCCTAATTTGGAAAAATTTAAAGAGACTTAGCCTGCCCGTCATGTCAAGAAAGACATGCATGATAGGTGTCAGGCGACACCACAACCATATTATTCATTCCCATCATGCCAAGAAAAGTGTAAATACGTCTTCAGGGGAGGCATCTATGTGAAAATGCAATTTTCTCCAGAGATATTTGTAGCAGATTTACCAATTTTCTTGGCATATGAAACTGTAGTTTATGTGACCAATATATCTAAGACAACTCTCTCACTCTTTCTAATCTTATCTTATATAGGAGCTTCTCCAACATTTTCATGTATATATGCTCATTTTGTATCTTATCTCTAAGAGTAAGCCGCTCATGAGCATTCTAATCTCTACAAACACTTAATATTATGATCCTCTTTTAAAGACCTACATTTTACACCATAAAGCATTACAAGTCTCACCACATCTTGTAGAATTTTCCCCTAAGTATGACGGGAATTTTCTATTAAACATTACAAGTCTCACCACATTGCTTCTCTTTTATAGAATTTTCCCAACGCATTCCTCCACTTGAACCATGCAATTTGAATTCTAATGATAATATACACATCAACTCTCTCTAGACTCATCAACAAGAAGAATATCATCAATAAAATAGATACACCATCATACAATATCTTACAAATATCTACCAAGAACATCCATGAAAAAAGAAAAAAACTTTTGGCAGATTTTTGACAACTAAGGTGACAAACATTAGACGATGGACCAATGCCGACACAGGCGGCATTTTGATGAGGCGACTGATGCAAGTGGAGTGAACCATAATGAGAAGGAAGACAACAGAGGGAGGAAAATAGGGCTTTTTTCGCAGCCCATGTTTCCGTTGAACAATCCGCTAAAAATTGTTCGTTTGGCTTAAGTAAGCCTATAAAATATATACCAGTAGTTTCACTAGCAAGTTCTGGAGGATAACACACCAAAAAAAGCTACCAGTTTTATAAAAAATGATGAATGTGGAAGCTGATTTTTTGCCGGTAATTGGTTGGCAAAAAATTAGCAGGAAACTCAGTTTTTCTGTTATTGACGGAATATATACTAGTTACATTATTTCTTTTACCGGTGTATTTAGATCTACTGGAAAGTTTGATGGCAATACAAGGTTTTTCTATAGTGTAACAATGATCTGCTTGACACTTTATATACCATTTATTTGACATAAACCTATCTAATCTTTCATATCACTGTCTTGGTGCCTGCTTAAACATATAAATGCCCTTTTTGAGTCTACACACCATATATTTTTTACCTATGACCACATATTCCTGATGTTGCATTATATATAACTCTTCTTCAAAGTCACCATGAAGAAGTTGTATCATTACATTCATATGCTCTAGATGTAAATCCTCCATTGCTATTACGATCAACACAACTCTCAATGTATTTAACTTCACCACTTGACAAAAGATTTAAAATGTTTATCTTCACCACTAGAGAAAAGATTTTAATGTTGTTAAATCATTCATGTTATTGATAAACATTAAAAATATGCCTAGCCTGGTAGCATGTATTACTATCACGTTCTTCTTTCAGCCTATAAACTCACTTATTTTGTAATACTTTCTTTCCATATGGTAATTTTGTCGGCTCCCAAGTCTAATTCAACTCAAGTCACTGCATCTTATTCCAAGCTTGATTTAACTCAAGTAACTACATCTCATCATCCACGTCTTTCTCTCACTTATTTGAATCATCAACTTAAATGGACTAGTCATAACACTCTAATTCATCACCATTTAATAGTA